AGTGTCCCGGTCATGTTTTGATGGTGTCCCGGTCATGTTGTGATGGTGTCCCGGTCATGTTTTGAAGGTGTCCCGGTCATGTTGTGATGGTGTCCCGGTCATGTTGTGATTGTCCCGGGCATGTTTTCATGGTGTCCCGGTCGTGTTGTGACGGTGTCCCGGTCATGTTTTGATGGTGTCCCGATCATGTGATGGTGGCGCGGTCATGTTGTGATGGTGTCCCGATCATGTTTTGATTGTGTCCCAGTCATGTTGTGATGGTGTCCCGGTCGTGTTTTGATGGTGTCCCGGTCATGTTTTGATGGTGTCCCGGTCATGTTGTGATGGTGTCCCGGTCATGTTTTGATGGTGTCCCGGTCGTGTTGTGACGGTGTCCCGGTCATGTTTTGATGGTGTCCCGGTCCTGTTGTGATGGTGTCCTGGTCATGTTTTGGCGGTGTGCCGGTTATGTTTTGATGGTGTCCGGGTCATGTGACGGTGTCCCGGTCATGTTGTGATGGTGTCCTGGTCATTGTGTGATGGTTTTCCCGTCATGTCATGTTGGTGTCCCGGTCACCTTGTGATGGTGTCCCGGTCATGTTGTGATTGTGTCCCAGTCATGTTGTGATGGTGCCTCGCTCATGTTGTGACGGTGTCCCGGTCATGTTTTGATGGTGTCCCGGTCATGTTGTGATGGTGTCCTGGTCATGTTTTGGCGGTGTGCCGGTTATGTTTTGATGGTGTCCGGGTCATGTGATGGTGTCCCGGTCATGCTGTGATAGTGTCCCGGTCATGTTGTGATGGTGTCCCCGTCATGTCATGCTGGTGTCCCGGTCACCTTGTGATGGTGTCCCGGTTATGTTGTGATGGTGTCCCAATCATGTTGTGACGGTGTCTCGGTCATGTTTTGATGGTGCCCTGGTCATTTTGTGATGGTGTCCCGATCATGTGATGATGGTGTCAAAGGAAGAGATGGTCGATGTGTTGAAAACAGCAGCTGTTTCCAGATTTTTCTTTTTGTCCCGGTTTGTATCTTGCTATTGGGGTCTCCAGCTGGGCTAATTACAACTTCATTCTTGGTGAAAGCGTGACAGACACGCTATCTCAGAGCATCAGGACTGTGGTTTGTTCTACTCTGGAGCTTTGCGATGAGGTCCAATATTTTCCAAAGTGGCACAGCTACAAGCATGGACAACACATACGAGTAGTGCTAGTCTCCATGTATTCTGAATGCTGTGACCTGCAGTGACTCCAGCAAGTACTTGGCATAAGTACAAATGCCTTTCTCACTGTTTGGGGTCTTCTGAGACTTGCTGCAGCAATCTTCTCTTGTGACTCTTGTGTATGGAGGGGACGGGACATTCTCGTTATGGTGGATTTTTTGAAATGGCCAGGTAAGCCGCAAGTTTGGCCTGGATGCGATCACCTTGGATGGTGACAAGGCTGGGAACAAAGGGGGAGAGGAGAGGGGTAACTGAATGGAACCAATGATTCGAAATGTCTGAGGTCAGCAGCCGGGGCACTTTGCCACTGCCCCAGTGTCAGACCTGAAACGCAGAAGAACACTCAACCACGATCCATTGATGCGACTATGTCAGAAGAGGAATGGCGGAAGGGATCTGAGAACCACGGTCATAACAGTGTTCTTTCATTGAACTAGTATATTTTGTGACTTAAAATCCCTGAAAGGCCTTCATTCTGCTTAGACCTGAAAGCAATTTTAGAGACAAAGCCCTGGCTCAAAGGACCGGAGGCTTTCAAGATCCAGCGCGCTTTGTGCGAATTTCACAAGCACAAAAGCTTCGGGCAGCGCAGGACTGGATTTCTTCAGTTTATGAAGAGACACCTTATGAAGGATTCACGCGAATTTTCATGAACTTCATGAGTGAGCCATGAAGCAGACCAGGAGAAAGCCAGTGCCATCCGTCCCAAGCTTGCCAAGATCGAGCAGGAGGCCAACGTTGCTCAGTGCACCGTCAAGGATCACGATCTGATATTTTAGGCCACACTCTACAAAGGGAGATGGAAGGTGCACGCAGACAGATTTCTCCAATTCACAAATGATAAAGCACATCCTCAAGGTGGTTTGAGTCACTGGAGATAACGCCGACCCGCCGATGGGTAGGTAGAATCAGCATCTACCTTTGACACAGCATCGAACAAAGCGCCTTGAATGCGGCTCTTTGTCAACGGATGCACTAGCATGTTGAATGATACTGTAACAATTGATTCCAAGTGTTGTCATCCTGTTGTTATTGCGCTTACGACCCGAGCAGCTGCCCAGCTATTCCTCTTGTGTAACAAAGGTGTACTGAGATGTTTCAATCATTCCCGATTGCAGGCTGAAGCTGCATACAACCAGCTGGATGAGCTGCACAGCCGCTTGCTGATTTGCTTGCCTCTGGTGCCGTGCAGTTTATTCGTTTTGGATTGTGCAAACAGCCAGTCAGTCAACCTCTGAAGCTTTTTGAAGAGGTCTCAGCAGCAGAAACCTTTTTGCCGCTCTTCTTGTCGATTGAGGTCAGTGCAGACAAGGCTTGATATATTCTGACTCGTTAACTCAGGTTCTCGGCGAGACCTTCAGGATGAGCGTGGAACAAAGCCGGCCACCAAGAGACCAAGAGAAGAAAGAGAGTGACCAATGCGTTATGGTCCCTGATTTGGTCGAAGTAAAATATCACTGAGTCGTCTATCTACTGTAGCTACTCGGGCTTTCTCCAAAGACTGGTTGCAAGTGCACCGTACGCTAGATATTCTTGGGGTTTCAAACAGGCAGGAAGTTCACGAAGGGCACCAGCACGCATTCCTCATGATACAGGCGCAGCGCTCTGAATGCTGCAAGTGAAGCAGTAGAAGAAGCTGAAGGTGGGCGAAGTGTCCGCTTAGATTCAATGTTGCTGCTCTTAGGATCAACGCCTGGATGTTTTGGGCATCTTTAGAATTGGGTGGCTGAAACCATGAAGACTATGGTCGAGCAGAAGTAAGCTGTGTTCTAAGGCATGCACGGACTTGGGGCAAATGCTCATAATGCACCAAGTACACAATGGGTTTGCCAGCAGATTCTTTAGCAAAAACACTATATACACATTTCTTCACAAGGTTATTCTTGTCTTTCTACATGTGGTATACGTAGTAACGTTTGTTTGATTTATCAATGATGTTGTCAACAGGTCGTGCTGCGCGCCACGAAGATTCTGTCCGCCGGGGCCTTGAAATTGTGAGCACGAAATACACTGCATACGGGCGTGTGGCCATCTTAAAACTGGTCCCCCAGACACTGCATTTCAATGTGTTTGATTTTTCTGGCTTTCCTTCAACTTCTCGCTTTTTCATGTTTCTTCAACCGTGTATCTCAAGACTTGCTCTTCTTCCTTCTTCACGCATTTCCCAGCAGGCTTTCCAGTCACATGCTGATAAGGCCAAAGCCTTGAGCGTTGCAACGAGTTGAAAAGCCACATAGCTCAATATGAGGCTTCTGAACGACACAGTGCACAGTGTTGTGATGCCAATTTGCACCTAGATATCATGGACGATAGTGAAATGGTAACGTTCATCTCCATTTTGAAGGTTTTTGCTTGTGAAACGGAGGGTGGATCATGAAGCGGAGGGTCGCAGCAAAAATGGTGGCTGCACTGAGTCCTTGCCCACAACAAACAAAAGAATCGGACACCACAAAAAATCATCCATGCATACGCAACATATGTATTTAAATGAATATGACATATAAATATTTAAACCACTAACGGGGCTGCTGCCTGTGCCGCCCACCTGGTTAAATTTAGGGCATATCCATAGATCCTCGCTGTAGGTTAAAATTCGCCACGGCAGGGTGAGTCATCGTGTAGACTGCCCTACCCCATCCCTACCGGATCATCTGATCTGCAGCCATGAGCCCCACAGTTCCATTAATGGCCTAAGGGCCTGGCCTTTACACACATAGCCGCGTCAACCTTTGGAACCGACTAAAACGACCAAGACGATAAAAGCAGCTGTGGACTGTGGACCCCACAGCTCTCGCAAGAGCAGTCCAAACCCAGGTCAGCGGATTTAGTATGTGCATTTTGCCAGACATGCAAAAAATCTCGGATAAGTGAGCATCAGCGAGCTTGCTTTCTGCAGCATCCCGAATCATGGAGGGAACGCGATTCTCACGTTTCTCAGGTTTGCAAATTTCTTTTTATGCTTATTCCGTGAAGTGAGCCGCTGCATTTTCCAAAAGCGGTTGTTGGAGGAACCAAGCATCAGAGCTTGGCAGATCATTTTTCCCCACTGCCACCCCTTTGGAGTGCACATCATGTGCCATTTCATCGTGATGGTTACAACGGGGTTTTCTTTCACATTGCTTTTGTGGGCATCGAAACTGGAGATGTTGGCAGACAGGCAGCAATTTCAGCAATGGAAGAAGAGATGAAGAGCAAATCCCTTGGAGCCCATGTCTCAGATTGCTTTCTTTGCAATGGACTGCTCCACTGCTCAAGCTGAAGCTTCAAACTCACAGGGCGTTGACATGTGTTGAATGCCCGTGACTCACAGACAGGCTGTCCCTAACGTGTGGAGAAGTGTGCCCTCACTCAGGACCTGAGTGCTGAAGAGGATGCACAACTGCTGCGCTTGGGTGAGGACTACCTGGGATGGCCTTACTGGAACATGCAAAAGTGCTTCGGTTTGGTGCAGACCCAGAAATGTTGGGCTTTGAGCAGTGTCGCTAATTGAAGAACAACATGTTCTCCTTTCAGGATAGCCTGAACCGTAAATCGTCAGCTGGACGTGAACAATTGAAGATCACCATGGTCTGTTGACTGGTGTGTGTTTTATGACCTTACTACAGCTGACAGGAACTGCAAGAGCTCGAGCAGTCGCTAGGGACTTGGGCAGGGTGGTTGTCAAAAGGCCACACACACACACAATTTGTGAAACCTTTTTCAAAAGTAAAGTAGTCTATTAGCGTCTGGCCAGGATGGGAACATCGATGACCATTTCACATATCAGTCCATTTCAGTCATATGAAGCAGGTTATCCTCTTCCTCACTTTAGAGTCGACTTAGGTCAAAACCCTGTGCCCCTTTTGAACACAGAGAAGGAAGCAAGTTGCCTTTTGGGACACGCTGGCAGGCTCTAGTAAGTGATTTTGGATTGTGCAGGAGGCTTCAGGGACCCCTTGTGGTTTTGGGATGTTCACTTACCATATTAAAGTTATGGGTGTTCAGTCTTTGACCCACAGCCATTGAATGATGTACTGTAAAGACATTTCACTTGACGCCCAGGCTAGCAGCCAGCAGCGAAAAGTGTCACAAGCTGAACCGCGAGATCATAGGCCGGCCAGGGCGGCCGGGGCCTACCATCGATCAGGGAGAAGACTGGGTTGGAGACTGCCTGAGCCCACCGTGCGTGTTCACAGTACAGTTGTGCACCTCCACTCTGCAGACTCCGCAGGCAAGGAGCAGCATCTCAAGGACTTCCTTCGCAAGCGTCTTCATGAGCTTGAGGTGTGATCCCGTGCTATACAGCTTCTAGCTACTAGTAGCAATGCCCTTGTTACTAGCGGCATCTTGTTACTAGTAGCGTCCTTGTTACTACTAGTAAGGCACTTGTTACTAGAAGCGATGCCCTTGTTACTAGTGGCCTCTTGTTACTAGTGCAGTCCGGGTTCGGAAAAGAACAGTTTCTGTCCATTTGCCCTGAGGTCGAGTTGCGTCGTGACCTTCCCACAGATCACGAGGCGTGAAAAGAAATAGCGTCCTTGTAAGACGCGCACAAACTTCTCTCAATACCTGTCCGTATTCCTACTAAGGCGAATTAATTGGAGCAGTATCCTGGTATCCTTTACACGCTGCTTTCCTTTTGACAACACAAGTGTCTCAACATGCTTGAAGCATCTACCTAGATGCAGAAGCTGCAGCTATGAACGCCGGAAATCGAGACATGCGCAAATGCAAGGAGCGTGTTAGAGAGCGCAGCAAGGCAGATGGGTTGGGGATGCTGAAGGAGATTGCTACGAACCATTCAGTTAATCGAAATCAACATGACTGATGATCACAGTTTTGGAATTTGGATCGATGAGGGTTGTTGTTGTACTTGTACCATGCTGCAACTTCATTTAAGCCTTTCATAGATTATTGATGGCATCAAACCCATCAGAATGTCAGGCTGTGGAGCGACTGCAGCGCGCTGAGAAAGAGAGTGAATCGTCGCTGAAGGAGCACGTATTTTCTTCCAGGATTTCTTCAGTCGACAGGTGGTGGGGAGTCCCTCCTAAGTTTGGTCGATGTTCGAGGGCTTTTCTGAATGGAGATGTGCAAAATACGGGGTGCATCTGCTGCTGCGGCCGCTGCGGCTGCTGCTTTCTAAGCCATTGGCAACTTTGCTGTCTTCTGAACCAGCGTGCCGGACTAGCTGGAGTAGAGTTTGATTTGGTCTTTATGGCTCTCTTGCATTCATGGGTCAGCAAGACCTATCAGGAGCTCCTGAAAGATTTGACGGCCTCTGATCAGGTGGCAATCCCAGCAGAATCAGTTCTGCACCGTGTGGTGGAGAACAAAACTGAAGACCATCTGACCGTATCTGACCATAGTTGACCAATAGCAACCCCAAGATTTACCTCCTTATGGGTCCTCCCAAACCCCTCACCTGCAGTTCCTAGAATGGGAGAAAAGCTCGTCTTGGAATTTGGAATCAATGTTTATCCTCTTTAATACAAGCGTGAGCTATCCTGCGTCCTGGGTAGTAGCTACCTAGCTACTACTAGCTAGCTACGTACCTAGCTACCTCTTCTCGGCCTACCCCCGCCGGGTTCAAACCGGCGCCCTCAGGCCTTGGCCCAGGCTCGCTCAGAGGTGGACAAGTTGCATGCAGAGGCGTCTGGGGCGTTGCGCTTCTGTTTTGCAATCCTTTAGTCTACGTGGAGAGTCCCCTAGAGTTCGCTTGTTTTTGTAAGTTGGTAGGGATGAAGCTGCTGCAAACCAAGTAGACTGAAGGTTTCCAGGGTCTCATGTGGATGTGGGTCGGAGCAGGGGATCTACATGCGAAACTGGCAAGTGTTTCTGGATAACACAGGCAATAACCTGCTGTTGTTCAGGATGGGCCATGTTGGAAACAGGCCAAGGCTTTTAAGCACCCCTCGCATGCTGAAATCTGCACTACTAAATTTAGTCTTCACTCACTTTTCAAAGGATATTTCCAGTGTGTATTCTGCTTCGCTCACTGGTTCATTGCTTTTGAGGACCAGAAGCTTCAGGGGACTCTCAATCAGCTCACTGGGAACTTGGATGACATCGCCTTGAAGGTGGGGCTGTTGGGTTATGGGAAGATGTGGGAGACACTTAGTTTTGATTTGATTGATGACACTTGCTGATTTTGCGACAAGTGGAATGTCGGATTTGTCGACTTGATTCCTTGGTTCAAGGCAAATTTGCAGAGACTTGAAGAGTATTGTTAACAATTGGTCTCCTTTGCAGAATGGACATTGAGGGAGAGCGTTTTTGGACAATGTCACGAGATCAAACAGAGTTTTCGAATATTCTTCAAGCCCAAACCTGTGCTTGTTTTGATGTAAAATTCCTTCCTCGCTCCGCTTGCTGCATATGGCTGGCTATGCTCCGCTGCAAGATGGGCAGCTAGCTGCAAATTTGCGGCTCTTGAACTCCGTGAAGGCCCCTGACACGGTGAAAGGGTGGATCAAAACTCCAAGATTTTTGGGGCACCGTTGGATGCTCCAGCCATTTTGCAACAGTTGAGGTTTGGCCTGTTTGCGAACCGACTTTCGGCACTTTCAAAGAGAGACGAGATCACTGACGTTGACGTTGCCAGTTGCCAGGAGAATGCGGCTGTCGACAGCGCTGGTGCTTTGCAGGATGGGGCAGAGATTGACTTTGCTGCTTTGGAGGAGCCGCTGAATTTGCAGACGCCCTTGCGCTGTGCTTGCGCCAAGGCAGGTATTTGATGGTATTTGTATTCCATGGCTTTTCAGTTCCAGCTCTTCAATGCTCATCGCAGTTGGAAGTGCCAACCACGTCGTACCAAGCAAATGCCCCGTTTGACTTTTTAGGACTGTGCCTCATTGGGTACTACCGGGACAAAGAGTTTGGCATTCTCCACGCTACAGAGCCTTCCTCCCTCAAACACACATCCAAGACAACTTCCGCAGTGTGTCTGCTTGGTTGAATTTCCTGCCTCCGAAGCACATGGAATCTTAAATAGGATATATGATACTTTCATATAGCCTGAACTGAACAAAGGAAACACTCTATGAAACCTAAAGTAGGTGACAAAGGCGGACCGCCCCACACCTATCATGCGAAATGGACCTTCAAATGCAACTCACCTAGATGTTGTGAGACCCGGTAAGAAGAAACCACGTCCTCAACCACCGATATAGAATCCACCCATGAAGTGCCACCACAATATCTGAAGCCCTATCCCAGATATTCTTGTTAATCGTGGAGGCCAATGCAAAGATGACACGTTTCCTGCTGCTGAATGGCGCTGATGTTTTCGCACACTTCCAGATCGATGGTTGGACGGCACTGCACAGTGCTTGTCATGGGGGCCATGACCACATTGCGAGATTGCTGCTTGATGAGGCGCCTAGCCCCTAGCCCTGACGCACATGTGAGCCGGCCCTCTTGGCTGGAGAACACTAAGATTACAATTGGTTTTGGTACACAAAAACATCTTTTGAAACACACATTTTGATCTCCCAGACCTATGGACCTATGATGCTTTTATTTGTAGGACCTTCAGGTTAGCGGAGAGAGACACGCGAGGCAGTGACCCTCCCGGGCCCGGGCCAGGGCCCATGCGGCCCACGTCAGGCAAATGCTTTCCATGAGAAGACCTTCCAAGGGGGTTGGAGCCTGCTGCATCTCATCGTGCTGCTGAGATGCACATGTTTGCTGGTGGATGGGCAGGTAAAAGGAACTGATACTGTAACTGGAATTAGCATTTACAGCACACTTGTTCAAATCGTTGACTGTCAGAGTCTTTTACCCTTGCCCCAGATGAGCACGCTCTCCCGCACAACGATCCTCAACGATCCTCGGAGTCTGTAGAGTCTTCCATCAGCATTTGTCCGTTTGCCTTCTGAGGCTGGCAGCAACGAAGCGCTTGCAGAACAGAGGAGCAGACCTGGTGAAATGGTCCTTAAAGCGTATGCCCAGTGTGCAGGTTGGCACCAAGATAACCATACTGACAGGATACACACCTGGGCTTCTTATTGCCCGAGTTTTGTACATTCTAAGTCTCGATAAACTTGCGCCGTTTCTCTCCGCGAAAGAAAAGCAATCAATATGGTGCACAAATGCGACCTCACCAACAGTAAAGCGATGCGGTCACCAGCGGTAGCAAACTACGACTGCAAACCGACAGTATCTCACCCGTGGTCGCACTGAACACGTACCAGAGCGAATACAACCACCTGGTGAAAGCATATCACCTACCAGCCTCACAAATCCACCTTCCCAGAGCCTGCCACAAGAGGACATGGCTATTTTGCAGTGAAACAGTTGCACCACCTTGGTTCTCTTACCTTTTGTGTTGCCTTCTCAAGTTGAGTTGAGGTAGGGTCGTTACCGTTGTTTCACGCGGAATGACAGCAACAATTCCTTCGTTCCTTCCGTTTCCTGCCTTCGTTTCCTTTGCTTTCCCTTTCCTTTCGCTTAGCCACAGCCACAGCTCGGCCCCACAGGTGGATGCCCGGTCATCTCGTCCTGGCTACGAGGAGTGGACACCGCTTCACTTGGCAGCCGCACGAGGCTACACAGAGATCCTTCAGGTGCTTTTGACCGCCAAGGCAGGAAGGAAGGAGCTCATGTGTTCTGGATATACTCTCTCTCTCTCTCAATATGTATATATACTAAATAATATTTGTGATATTTGCATGGATGATCCATAGGATATTTACACGGATATGCTTACGCTCATGATTCATTTCCGTTGTTTTTGCTTTCACTGATGTTAGGAGACAAAAGACCGATTATAGGGAAGTACTGACTCTGCTGGAGGCAAATCCAAACGCCGTGACCGGAGACTTCTACGTGAGCTCCATTCAATTGAATAGGCTTGGCACCAGACATGAGTCGACTGGTGTATCATCATGGATCATCTACCTGCTATTCTATTCAGCATGTCGAAACTGGGAACGAGGGTGGAAGACCTCAACCTGCAAGTCACTTCTACTTCAAAAACAAGGCATGACGGCCGAAGGATGAAGAGTGTACTTATAGCACTTGGATTTGAGATTTGTTCGTCTGTGGGCAGAAGAATGCAGGCTTGCGTCAGGAGACGAGGAAGCTGTCGTATGCGTCCAGAGCGTTGGAACTGCCAGCGAAGACCAGCTGGATCGAGGCCATGGAACATGTCTCCTACGGCATGTCTCCTTTTGTCACTAAACTAGTGCATAAACTGATGGTGCTCGTCGCAGATTCCCCTTCAACTGACTGAAGTTTCGTGTTCTTTTTTTACCAACATGTTGTCCGGGTCGTGAACGATTGTTTGGCCTCAAGTGATGCGTCCATTTCCATGAGACTCATGTTTCAAGGGCTTGCGGTTGAGGCCGACAAGGCTTCACTTAGGGTTTTAGTTTCCGAACAAATCTAGAAACCAAATCATTAAGCAGCCTTTCTTCGTCGCTTCTCAAGCTTCTAGCTTACCTCCTCTTAACCTCTCGGCCCAAAATGACCTTGTGTGGTGGGGGAGAGCTCGCAGAGAGCCCCCTCAGAGTGCCTGTGAGGTCTTCGGCCCATACATCTAGCAGCTTTTGGTGGTCACCAACGAAGCTGCCATGTGCTCATCCGGTGCACACCCAAATGCACCAACAGTATGACGAAAAGGCGGACTGGGCAAAGCTTCAGGGGAGAGGACACACTCAGGAAAGGGATGGTGTGTGAGGCTTTGTGTTTAAGGGTCCTGAGGTGCAAGAAGGACCATGCAACAGTTTTGACAGAGAGAGGTTGCTAGAACGCTGCCATAAGTTGGCCAAGAAGTGGCAAAGTTGTTTGGCTTCCATGTCTTCCTCACCTTCATCTGTATCAGAAAGGTTGGAAGAATGTCATTTCCCCCCAAAATGTCGTTCTTGCGAAGAACTTACAGAGACTGTACGCGTTGCCCAGTCATTGCTGGACTCCATTGATGTATGGCGTTTGGAGCAACGACGTGGCTTTGGTGCGGGAGCTTTGCCGCTTGGGGGGCCGGCGAGTGGTCAATGACTTGGATCGGCGGAGTAGCGGCACTCAGTGGTGTCCACTGGCCTTGGCCGTGGTGCGCAGCAGTACTGAGATGGTGAAAGCGCTTTTGGAGTGTCCTGGCGCTTTTGTGAGGGTGTGAAAAGCCTGAAAGGCTGTTTTGCGTTGGCTGGGGGGCCTAGGTATGGCGCTGACCCTCTAGTCCGGCTTTATTCAGCAGACTTTCCTGGTATGGCTTTCGTCAAACATTGCTCTTTAGCCTTACCAGATGCTGCTGCCAACGCATGGACTGGCAGGGACCTGTGTCTCGGAAGCATGAAGACTGCAGGCCCCTACATTTTGGCCACTCAGTTGCTCACCAAAAGACAGCAAGCCAGGCTGAGACCTGTAGATCAGGCTGAGATCGTTTGTTTGTGTACAAAAGTGAGGCGAATTTCCTTGCTACACCTTGCAGTCTGTCGGGGATCCAGTGCAATGCTACAGACTCTGCTGCCCATCTTGAAGTCTGCGCATCAGCGACCTGTCTACACTGGCAAGCAACCTCCCTTGAATGGAATGCCCTGGCAGGATGTTTGTGGACAGGCAGGGTTGCCATTGGGCCTGTTTGAGTAGATCTTTGAATTCACATTGAAAGAGCTGATCAACTCATTTCTGCGTTTCTTTTGTGATCGCCAGGTGGGATCCCAAAAATCTTCCATCCAGGATCGAGCCAGGGAGCGACTGATTACAAGTCCTGCATCTGAAGCTCAAAACTGTGATCCAGCGACTTTTTGCACTTCACAGGCTGACGGAAACCTGTGTGTTTCTTGGGGTGCTCCTCTGCCTCACTTGTTGCCAATGGGACCTGGTAAGATCAACCAGAGTGTGAAGCCGGAATGCATGACGAATGACATTGGCACAACTATACACCAATAAGTATCAATGAATATATCACGAAAGCTAGGCATGGCTGTGGTTGGGGTGGGACCCGGTAGGGTGAACCCAGAGCCTGGTGGTGGGGAGAGCGAAAAAGAGAGGCGGTCCAGAAGGTAGTGAAAACGTATGTTTTTAGAGTCTTGGTGATGCAAGTGATGCACATGACGCTGAATAGTGCATCATTATATAGCATCAGGCTGTTAAGATGGTGTACTGAGGTGAGCTGACCCGGTGTGTCATTGCATTGTTTTCAGAATGATAGGGATGGAACTTTCATTGCTCTAGTAGCTGAGTTGAAGTCACTGACTACAGTCACGCTGCTGGACCTAGCTTTTCTATGTGGGCAGACTGCTTGGAAGGACTTGGAAGGGCTGAGTGCAACAGTCCTCCTGGAATAGTTGCCGCAGTCTAAGGATAGTGTCGGGGATGCCCTTTTGTAGCGTGAGAAGGGCATTGAGCCGGAGGACTAGACTTGTTGTGCAAGAGCGTGTGGTCCAAGTCTATCCTATGACCAGTAATAGTCGATGGGGGTAAGTTAACGCCTTGTGTATACGGCTTTACCATGTCGAACCTCAATGTGAAACTTTGCATATCTCTGCTTTTGTTCTCCCGTGGCTAAAAACGTAAGAAGTAAATGCACCTTCAACTTCCCCCCATAAAAAAAATGTACTATTGACTTAATCCCTACAGCGGCTGGCTTTCGTCCCTCCCTTCTCTTATTTATATAAATATATAAGTCACAACAATACTTAGTGCGTGTATCTGACTCATCAGAAGGGCATGAAATGTCTCATGACGCAGGGATGGTCCCCAGCTATATTGGCCCTCTTCCTTCACACAGTGGATCCCCGCAGGGCGGTGTGCCTTGGAAACCAAAAGAAACCAAAACACTTCCGTGACTTTGATTGAAAACTTCGCACTCTTGCTGGTGCAGGGATGTCATTCTGCCGAACTTAGACTTGTGTCACGAGTCACAAAGGTCTTCTGGGAAAACGTTTTGTCGCATTTTGTGGTATTCCTGTGGCCAAGCATGCCTTTTGAGCGGGGAGTCTCCGCACAATTGTCCACTGTTTTTTCTTTCAATATGCTACCCTAAAGGCTTCACGCCAGTTTCGAACCCAGAACGGTTATAATTTGGGAGATCTATATATTCTTGAGACATTTCCAGAACACTTGCCGCGCTGTCTGAGGCGCTGTTTCCCCCTGACCCAGACCTTCCCGGATCCCCCACTGCTTCCTCGAGAAGAAGTGTTCATGCACCTGGGCCGCCCTGACACAGCACTGACTGCATCACATTAGAGGGAAAAACGTGGCCACGTTGTGTCAACCGTGCGTCCGACTGTGGTGGTTTTGTGACAAGGCAGCTTTTGGCTTGGGGTGCGTTGGACGAGGAGATGACCACAGTGCCACAGCGCTTTCCCGATGTGGCAGAGTCGCTAGTGCCTTGTCTATAGACCGCTGGAGAACCCCTTCAGAACTATCGGCCTTGAACAAAACATCCCCGCCCAGGGCGGGAATTGACTGTGATTTTTTCAAACATGCATCCTATGTCCCATGACAGAATCAGGGCCAAAGTGTGTGTGTGTGTGTCACCCCCTGTCTCTAAGGGTTCCACCTTTGTAACTAAGAGTTTTGAATGCAGGGGGCCATCCCCCTCCCAGTGGCGGATGGCCAACGAAGAGGCCACTGGGGGGGGCTGCAAACGTACCTGCCGAACTGTTGTACAAGCTGTCACTCCACTCTTTCTTTGTTTGTTTCCATGGTGGTTCATGCTACTTCCCCTAAACCCTTTCCCTCGCCGCTCGCGCGCGTCGTCGTCGCACCACTGCAGATGAGAAACCTCAATGTTAAA